ATTAGCAAAGTTTTTGAGGAGTCAAAAGTTATACATGGATTTTTGACTGTGTGGGGGAGGGTTGGCGGCCCTAACCCCCACACTGTTCAAGGGTCAATTGTGTACACACACACATGCATACATATATGTGCATGCATGTACACACACATACATATATGCAACTTACAAAGATGCACAAAACAAGGTCAAAAAAGAAGAAATTTGGAGGGGGAAATTTGAAACTAAGAAAATTATGACAGATTAGTCAACAAGTTATATTTCTTAAGTCTTGTCTAAGTAGCTGAATGTGGCCATAAGTTTAGATCTGACTTCCCAGCAGCCCATGCAAAGAGAATACTGAACCAACTGCATAATTCACAGTCTCAGTGAGATTAAAACCTGATTGCCAAGAAACCACGTGGATTAAGCTTCCATGTCATAAGGCGGCATGGTGGGATATACTCAGCAATGTCCTCAGAGCATCTCTTATTGTACCAAAAAGTTCTGTAGGGCATGACAGAAATCTGTAGAGTTAGAGAAAATAGAAAAGAGAGAATATTACTTTCTAGCTGGAGCTAAAGTTTCTGCTGGGATGTGGCTGGGTTCATCTGAGCCTCCACCTATGATTTCCTTTGGTTCAATATTCTGTTTTAAGTGCCGAGCTAGCAGTACGCACCGGAGGTCATGGGAGTGGAGAAGGACGCTCACTGTTGCCTGCACTGGAGAAGCGGGGGCTGACGCCAGGGGCCTGGAGGAGACAGTGCGCGGGGAGCGGTCCAGTGGGAGCTCCCCAGGGGAAAAGGCGGGGAAGGCATTCCATGTGCGAGACGATAGCATCAACGGGGCACGGGGGTGTGGAGGGTGCCAATGGGGAGCTACGGGCAGTTTGGCAGTGGAAAAATATAAAATATAAGGCAGGGTGTGGTGGGAGGTGGAGCTGGACAAGTAGGCAAGGGCCAGGCTCTGCTCATCTTATGGTGCCTTGCTGAGGACATCTGCAGAAAGAGGCTGACATACCACTGACAGGATTTAGGCAGGGGAGCTGATCTGCATTAGTGTATAATAAATCTCCGCCAAACTCAGTGCCTTAAACAAAAATCACATATTCCCGCACACAGATCTGTGACTCTAAAGCAGAGGGGGGTCCCACTTCAGGGTGCGCATCTTCAGGTTGCCTGGGATGACCCTGTGTGGTGCCCAGGCTAAAGGAATCACAGCTACTCGAGGTTAGGTCTTCTCTCAGGGAAGTGTGGAAGTACAGGAGGGTGAGCAGACAGACAGATGTCTCTGGAGGCCTTATCAGAGAAGGGACACCTCCTTAGATATGCCCACATTCCATTAGCAAAGCAAGTTCTGTGGGCCAGCACGATGTCACTAGGGAAGGGAGGTACACTCTGCCCCTCCGTGGGGGCTGCTGTGAAGTCACGTGCCAGAGTGGCGGAAATTGCACAGGGAAGTGTGTGAAGAATTATGAGCAATGTTTCTACCTTAGGGGTGAAGCAGCTGGGCTTGACTTTTTTAGATAGTTCACTTGGGTAGTTATATGGAAAGAGATTTGAAAGAGGTGATGTTGGAGGCAGACGGACCAGTCGAGAGGGTCAGGTGAGACCTACTGAGAATCTGGGCTGGGCAATAGTGACCTGCAATGGAACAGTTAGTTCAAACCAACATGAGATAAACTGCCAGGACTTAATGACTTACAGTCACGTGTGGCTGGTTTTTAGATACCTCCATTTACTGTACACGGAGTCCACCACTAAGGTTTGTAGACAAACTGTCAGTTGCCTATTCAATACCTGTTTTCTTGTTTTTATTGAAATAACTCTGATTTCACTTGTGGTATTAATGTGATTGATTAAAAAAAATTCCCTAGCTTCCCTTGATGCTGAGAGGTGTCCATATGACAAACCTTGGATATACTAGATATAAATGAGATTTACTAGGTTGTATTATCAGAAGAACTTTTTATAGGGTCATGTGCTTTTTTTTCCCCTTTAACCAATTTGCTCCTTTTTCCTCCCTCAAGTGCACATAGGTGGCTGGAGCTCCAGCAGCTATTTTGTGACCAGGAGACAACTGCTAAGGATGGATGAGCAGAGAACAGAAGCCTTAGTCTTTGATTACCTCATAAAGACACCATAACAGCCATCAACAGTGTTCTTTAGAAGACTGATTATGTGAGAGAAAATAAATGCCTTCTCTTAAGTGACTTTTTTTTTGCCTGTTTTTAATAGCCAAGTAAACTTCCTGTTACCACACATGACCTTAGCACCATAAAAAACATTATTCATTTAATAATTATCCTGATGAATGGTCAAAATTAGTGGGGACTAAAATAAACTAATATTTTTTCTCCCACCTAAGTTCTTCTACATGGACTAATAATGAAATAATGAAATTAACAGATTAACAGGAGAAAATAAAATTTTAATACATGCTCATGGGATATTCACAGAGGCATGCAAATTCCAAAGGCAGTGAGGCAAAATTGAGTACACATGACATTTTGGACAAAAGAGAAAAGGGGGAAATGGGTTTTTAGAAGTAAGAATGTGTGATTTACAGGTAGGTGAGGTAGAGGGGAACAGACATGGCAGACAAATTCTTGCCTGGTGACTCAGAAACAATGGGATACAGAGATACAGAGGGTATCTAGCTAACAAGCTCCAGCCCGAAGCCTCCTATAATTCACATTAGGTTAAGAACATCCTAGTTTTTCTATGTGGATGTCTTGAGCAGAAAAGGAGAGAGGGTCAAAGGTTCTTTAAGTGTTTTTTTAATGAGTCTTTCATTTCTTAATAACAACTTCAAATTGATATCCCAAAAAGGCAAAACTTTTGGTTCCCTTCAAAACATTAGAACCTCATCAAGGTGATGTAGTCCAGCAGTGAGCAGCTGCTAACGTATGTAAATTTGCGGAGAAATTTATCTTTGGTTTCTTTCTTCCCTGTCCCCTTCACATAAGTCCAATTCCTCCCCTCAGCTAACCATCCACCTTACAACATCTACTTAGGTGTTAACTCATCTGAGAGAGTTAGCGGTGAAGGGGGCTGATTGTTAAGCTGTTTTGGAATAGGACTCTTGAAGAACAAACCTGTGATGGAGAAAAAAAAAGATGCAGAGATTGCTATTTTTCAAATAAGAGGCTATAATATTGGTAACTATAAAGTTGCATTTCTGCAGGTAACTTGATAAAGCACTTCATGGACACTGTCTCATTAGCTGCCCGAGGTTAGATGATTTGTTCAAAGAGGAGAACAAGTGATAGAGATAGGACTCAGATTTTCCTGACTTGTATTTTTCATTCTTGTGCCAAAAGTGGTCTCAGGAATTGTGTTGAGAACCTTCTGTGTGCATGAGAGAAGGGAGGTGTCCAAGGAATACTGCACTGGACATAGTTAAACAAGAAAGGAAGATTTTATTCAAGGTGATTGCAATGGGAGGGAGGGAGGGAAAGGAAGGGGGAGGAGGAAGGGGGAGGAGGAAGGGGGAGGAGGAAGGGAGCGGAGGGAGGGAGAGAGAGAGACAGACAGACACTGAATTTAACTCCACTGACATAAAAAGGTAGGAGGGTTCTTAAGCCCTGAGATGAACTATTGGGAAAGTACCAGAGGCCTTTGGGAGCAGGAAGAGGAGTTGGTCAATATGCTCTGGCCATCTGTGTTTGCTAATCAGCCCTCATTGAGGTCAGGCTTCCATCCTCCCAGACTGGGATGTAGGGGCCCTATCTTCCTTGAAGTTTCCATTTCCAAGGGACGGTGTCCCTGTCCTTAAGAAACATTTCTGGGTGATGAAACTGGTGAGAAGCTGGGAGATTTACATCTCAAGAGCCGAGAAATAATTTACAATGGAAAGCTTTCTAAAGTAAATGCTCTAAGTAAAGGGTGGTCAGGGACCTATAGGCACCAAGAAACCTGTCTAAAGTCTAGTCAAGCTGAGGGGAACGTGAAGGTTCTCTAGGTCAGAGGGCAGCACCACTTTTCCTTGTTCTGCAGGAAGCCAGGTCTCAGAAGTTTCCAACTGATCATCTCTTATCTGATGGCGGCTTAATCAGGGGACACACATGGACTAGCTGGTGGATGATTGCTTTTGCACCCTGGTTTCATGCAAACTCCACAGAGGTAAATTCTTGCCGTTTTCTGCCTCTGTCTCCCTCCTGGAGAGGAGAGCATTCACCCAAATGACATGCCCAGCACCAAACAGCATCCAGTTCTTCGGGATTGCATGCGATTTAAGAAGAGGGTAGAATGGGGAGGGTGGAAGGGACTCCTGAAGCCCAAAGATAGAACCCGAGGGCACAGGGCACTCCCTTTCAGAAATTACCATCATAAAAAGCAGAACCAGTAAGTCTAGGTAGCCTGCAGCAGAGAGAAAAACGAAACTCTCCTTGGCTGGCATTTCAGCTTGCCTGAGGGGCTGTACTTTGCTCAGAGGGGTGGTGGCCTGACCTTAAAATCCAGGCCTTGGGAAGTAGGAGAAGGTATTTTATTTTTCCTTTAAGGCTTTAATGTTTTTCATTTAAAAATTTAAAAGATCCAGTTCCTTCCCCTGAAGCTTCTTAGCAAAGTAGTGAATTTTTAGAAAAGACAAAGGTGCGCCGGGGGGGTGGGGTGGAGGCGGGGGGCGGTTCCTAAAGAGCAGTGTCCTGAAGCCTCTCTTTTCCCTTTTTAGAGCATTGGAATTTTTTTATTCAACGTTCCTTTCTCATCATCACCCTAGCCCCTTTTCTCCCCACCGATCTTTTCTTTCATTTTCCAAAGTACAAACAGACGGTTACCCCTCGGGTCCTGCTACCCCTCTCTCCTGAATCCCAATGGCTCCAAATACCAAGCTTCTCTCATTTTGGTCGGCAGTTGTTTCCCCTGCTTGGGGACCAACCTGGTGTGCAGAGGAGGGAGCGTCTATAGCCACACGGTGGCGCACTCGAGCCTCCCAAAGCCCAGCACTCTACTCCCCCTAGCCGCCCCACCCGCGTCCCAGCGCCGAAGGTAGCCGCGCCCCCGACCTTCCCCGGCGGGATAGCGGGGAGCGCGCCTCCGGAGCCCGGGAGGCTGTAGTGGGGCTGCAGCGTCCAGCCGGCGCGGGAGGTACGGCTGGCTGCCGGCGGCCCCGGCTCCAAGCTCTTCCTGCCGGTCCAGCCTCTGCTCCCCCACCCTCCTCATTTTCCCCCGGCTCGCCTCTGAAAATCCAAGGCTCCCCCAAGCAGCCAGGAGCGGCGGCGGGCGCAGCGAAGGACACAGGAGGAGTGCAGCTCGCCAGCTGGCCGCGCCAAGCCTTTGGGCATCATTGGCGGCGTTGCTAGAGCATCCCTGGAGGTGCCGGCGCGCCCTTGCTGGACTAGGAGAGGGGAGAAGCCGCGGACTGCAACTGGGCAAGGGGGAGGAAAGCGCGCGCGTGTGTGTGCCAGAGTGTGGGGGACGACCGTCTCGAATTAGGGAGGAGGAGAGGGCAAAGGAATCGGGGTGCGGCCCCCTCGGAGGTCCTCTCTGCGCCTCCTCCGGTCCCCAAGGTTCTCCCGCCGCAGCGCCAGCTTCTTAGCGCCCCTCACCATGGACTTGCGCGGAGTTGGGACGCGCCTCGGCAGCAGCGCGCGGGTGGCTGCCCGGCCCCGGGGGTGCGCGGGCGCGCGCGCTGGGATGGCGAGGTAGGATGGCCGCCCAGCGCGACCCTTGTCGCCCCAACCCAGCGGCCCCCGGGCGGTGCCGCTGACTCGCCGAAGCGCACGGGGGTGTGGGCGGAGGCGGCCCCGCCGCGCCCGCGCCTTTGGGTGTCGCTTTGCCTTTCCACCCACTTGCACCTGCCACCGCACGGATATCATGTCGAAGGCGGCCGGAAGCGGAGCGGCGGCGGCGGAAAGTTGTCCCCCAGCCTCTGCTGGCGCGTCCGCGGCCGTGGAGGACCTGTCCAAAGTGTCGGACGAGGAACTGCTGCAGTGGAGCAAGGAGGAGCTGATCCGTAGCCTGAGGCGCGCGGAGGCCGAGAAGGTGAGCGCGATGCTGGACCACAGCAACCTCATCCGCGAGGTGAACCGCCGCCTGCAGCTACACCTCGGCGAGATCCGCGGGCTCAAGGTGAGCGCTGGGTGTGCAGGGGAGGCTCGGCTCCGCGGGTCGGGAGTGGGATGCCCCAGGGAGGTGGGGCTAGTCTAACTTTCCCTCCCTCCGTCAACAGGTGATTCCTCCCCACTTTCCAGGTCAGCACCCCCTGTTCCCCATCCCCTGCCCTTTGGAAACTTTTCCGAACTTTGGAGGCGTTTGGATCCCTCCTCTTTCCATTGTGGGACGCCCAGCGTCGAACTCCCTCTCGGGGTCCTCCGTGGCGGGAGGAGCGGGCGCCTAGGATGCTGAAAGGCTGGGGAGGAGGTGATGGGTACGCGGAAGCTTTAATTTTCCAGGGATTCAGGAAAATCTGTGCTTTGGGTTACAGTGCTGGGCTACATACCCGCAAGGGGAAAAGGCAAGCAACGGAGCGAGTCCAGGGCATCTGATTCATCCTTGGGGACGGGAAATACGAATAGGCCGCTCTGGCTCCACGACTTTGCCGGCGGGCCGGGCGGAGGGTGAGAGGACAGGGTGCCAGTGCCGAGAAGAGGGGCAGGCGGGGCGTACAGGGAGAGGCCTCGGGCGCCACCTTCGGAGCTGGCATATATCACCGGGTGCAGAAGAGCTTAAGCTCTGTTACGTTTTCTGCCTTCTCCTGTGCTTTCTTTCTCCCCGAATTCAGATGGCGTCGTCTGGGTTTGCCTGTCGCCCCAGTACCCTCACGTTGATTTTAATTTCATCTAGATAGGGGGAGCAGCAGAAGTACTCAGTATGGGGGGCACAGGGGTTTGAAGGGTACCCCGAGTGTCGTGGTGCTTGTTTTTTGAGCCAGCCCTCCCACTTTGCTACTAGGAAAAGGAAAGAAAAAAAAAAAAAAAACCCGCCCCTCCTGACGCCAACTTTCCTTGGAGAACTGTGCGTTTGCCCGCCGCGTGCCTGCCCCGCCGGCCACTCTCCTGCTCTCACCGGTGGCGGGGAACCGCCCTGCGGGCGTGCACCACAAACTTCCTCTCCTCACTGCGTGCGCTGGTGCCTCCTGGTATTCCTTCCTCTCATTGTTCTGCTTTTGTTTATAGGAAGCCAGACACAAACGAAATCACTGCAGGGACCTTAGGGAGCAAATTCCCACAGGCACATGGTGTTCTTGTCCCCGTTCCACTCCCAGCCACTTCTCAGGCTGTAGACGCTTTTTCTTCATTGCCTCTGCTCTCCAGCTCTGGGATTCTGGGGCTAAGAGGAGTGGGCGGAGCAGAATGTCAGGTGCTTACCTGGGTGGAGGTGACCGCAGCGGGCTGTCATATAGTCCCTAGAGTGGGTGCAATTAGGGAGCTCTCCCGTCAGAAAAATCCCAAGGCTTACTTTTTCCTTTGGTTTAATTCATTACTAATGGAGTATTTATTAAATCCCAGACTCTTGTGGGATTAGACAGATTAGTGTAGTGAGAAGATCATCTCAGAAGTGGATTTGTATTTGGATTCCTCATTTGCCAGGAGGGTTAGCTTGGGTAACTAATTTCTCAGAGCCTCATTTTACTTATCAATAAAAGGCAATCATAATAACCATCTCCAGACATCAAAAATACAACTAAACTACAAAACAATCATCATTCAGAACTGCCTGAAATCTATGTGAATGGAAGTTCTACAACTAAGGATATAAAGGATATAAGGATACATTGGGACAGGTAGAGGGGTTGTAGACTAGGAATGGGCTGGTCCCACTCCTACATATGGGGGATAAAAATCAGGAGGGATATCTCCACTGCAGATGTCCACCCTAAGGAGCAAGGGGTCCCGGCCCCTGACATCAGGCTCCTCAGCCTAGGGTTCCATTGCCAGGAAGAGAAGTCCTCATAACTTCAGGCTGTAAAAACCAGCAGGGATTGTGGCTGAGTGAGTTGGAGTGCCAGGCAATTCCTCTTAAAGGGCCCGCACATGGACTACTCCGACTCATTCCTTCTAAACTCCAGCGCTGTGACAGCAGCTTGAAAAGGCACCAGAGACATATGGGGAGGAACTGAAATGTCTGGCATCAGGGTGAGAGCTGGAGGAACAGCTTTCTCCTGGATAGAAGTGGTGGCAGAGGCATTGTTCCTTTTCTGAGCTCTTCTACCACAGAGCTGGCAGGCAGGCTCCATATCTGAGTCTCACTTAACCTGTTTATCACCGTTTGCTGCCTTTGTGATTCCCTGAGACTGTGCCCCAACAGCTTCTGAGCCCACCCAAGCTGTTTCCAGTGGCTTTTCCAAATGAATGCCCTCTCTTGTCTCATTCTCCAGACTTTCCTAAAATTTCTCAACCAGCATCTGGCTTTGGTGTGCACTGTACTTGCTCATTGGTCTCAGGCCTGGCAGTAGTGGCAGCTGGTGCTGGTTTTCAGCTTGGCCTTTCCTGGGTACCACAAAGCCCAGCACAAATAGCTGCCGTCAGCAGACCACTTTGTAGCTCATGCTAGTGGCCCCAGGAAGAACACAGGCAGTGACCTTGGCCTGCACCTCCTAGGAGACCTCAGAGCCAGTGCACCTGGTAGACAGCTTGAGGCCATATCAAAGCACCACCTAACCACCTCCACAAGCAACAAGCTCAAGGGGCAGGCTCAGTGGGCACTAGAGCCTCATTGAAGTAAATCTTGTTCTGTGGGATAGGCCCCTGCATAGCTAACAGTAACCACAGACAGTCATTGCAGCTGATTGGCCTGGAGGTAAATCCCTCCCATTGAGGTGCCAATAGCAATCAATGTTCTACTACAATAGGAGAGTGGGTGTACCTGGAATGCCCAGCTGGGGTGAACCGGGAGGGTGTACCTCTGGACTCTATAGGATACCTACTACATTAGGCCACTTTACCAAGCCTTGGAGACATAGCAGCTTTACCTAATACATAGAAACAAACACAGGGAGGCTGCCAAAATGAAGAGACAAAGAAACGTGGCCCAAATGAAAGAGGAGAACAGAACTCCAGAAAAAGAACTAAAAAAATGAAGATAAGCAATTTACTAGATGCAGAGTTCAAAACATTGGGTATAAGGATGCTTAATGAACTTAGGGGAAAAGTAGATGAACTTAGAATGGAAACTATAAAAAATATCCAGTTTGAAATGAAGAACACACTAAGTATAGTTTGCAGGGAATCAGCAGTAGAGTAGATGAAGCTGAGAATCAAGTCAGTGGTTTGGAACATAAGGAAGCAAAAAAAAAAGTCATCTAATCAGAACAGCAAAGACAAAAAAGAATCTAAAAACATGAGGATAGTGTGAAAAACCTCTGGGATCACTGACTCCAAGTGTACCAACATTCACATCATGAGGTTGCTGGAAGGAGAAGAGAAAGAGCAAGAAATTGAAAACCTTTTTAAAAAAATAATAATGGAAAACTTTTCTAACCTGATGAAGGAAATAGACATACAAATTCAGGAAGTGAAGAGAGTTCCAAACAAGATGAACCCAAGGAGACTCACACCAAGACATAATTAAAATGCAAAAGGTTAAAGACAGAGAGAGAATCTTAAAAGCAGTGAGAGAAAAGCAGTTTAGTTAGCTACAAGGGAGCTCCCAGAAGATTGTCAGCTGATTTCTCAACAGAAACTTTGCAGGCCAGAAGGGACTGGCAAGAAATATTCAAAGTAATGAAAAGCAAGGACCTACAACCAAGATTAGCCAGCAAAACTATCGTTGAGAATTAAAGGACATATAAAGAACTTCCCAGAGAATAAAAAGCTGGAGTTCATCACCACCAAACACTTTAACCTGAAATACTGTAGGGTCTTCTTTAAGAAGACTAAGAAAAGGTAAAAAATATGAACAATAAAGTGGCAATACATATTTATCAACAATGAATATAGAAAACAAAATAAATGGACAAGCAGGACAGAAACAAACTCATAGATACAGAGAATGTTTTGACGGTTGCCAGATGGGAGGGGGGTTTTGAGGGTTAGGTGAAAAGGGTGAAGGGATTAAGAACTACCAATTGGTTGTTACAGAATAGTCATGGGGATAAAAAAAAATGCAGCATAGGGAATATAGGCAATAATCTAAAAACTATGTATGGTGTCAGATGAGTGGGAGGTTTATCGGAATGGTAAGTTGGTAAGTTATGTAATGTTTAATCACTGGGGTATATACCTGAAACTAATATAATATTGTATGTCAACTGTAATTGGAAAATAAAAAATGGTTTTAAAAAATAACCATCTCCTAGGGGATTGTGACAATAATTTATGATAATGTAAGGGAAGGTTTAACACTGAACTTGATTTAAAAACATGGTAGTTATTCTTACCAGGAGGGGACACATCTCCAGGATCTACGTTTTTTAGGCAAAGTTGAAATAAAAGTATAGTTTGTCACCCTCCAGTTTAATCTTCTTCCACGATTTGAACTATAAAGTGACTTAGAAAAGTTAAATTAATTACTCAGTTAATAGTATGGAGCATTGACATAATAGCTCAGGAATACTTGCAAGTTCTTTTAGCTTGTGTGGATTGACTGTATGGGAGGGGCAGCGCGTGAGTAGTGGGGGTCAGGTCTTCATTCCATTAGCCTCAATTAGAGAAATACCTATTAGGCCAGTTAAGTAAGGATGGTCACACCCCAAGCAGGGGAGTCTCCTGGTCGTCTAGCTTTGTGGCCCGGCATTAAAACACTTCCCAGCCCACCTTCTTATCAAGTTCAGAAATGATGTGGTCTGGTTATTTTCTGAAACAGCCTCTACTCTTCCTTCCCATCATCCCTGGACAGCTGCAAGGTGATATTTCCAAGACCTCTAACCCACCTCTTGGGGCTCTACTAAAACCTTGCTGAGAGGCCAATCCTCCCCCTTCTCTTCAGCCTCCCAACTCAGAGCCTCTCTGGACACCGTAGTGGTCTGGAAATGTGGTTGGCTGAATAATTTCGGAAGGAAGGGATTTTTATTTTCTCTGATGATTTGAGATTCTCAGTGGAGGACTGTAAGTTTAGTGTAATTAAGGCCAGGATACTTTTTCTTTTTTATGCCCTTTGTCTTTGAAATTGGATCTAAATATTTTCAAGGCTACTGGGTGGTACCGTAGCTGTAGACACGGGGAGATGGGAGCATCAGTTCTTTCCCTTGGAGGGGTCTGTGTGCAGTCATCGCTGACCTGTTTGTGTTTAAACATTTCTGAGGCTGTACAGTGTGGGGCAGTGGAAAGGCAAAGGGTTGGGCAAACTCTTAACCTTTCTGAGCCTCAGTTTTCTTATCTGCTAACTAGGGATAGTAATTCCACATGCAGTTTGTGAGGATTAAATGATACAGAGCTGAAGTAACGCCAGTGAGGTTACATGGCTTTCTCAAGGCCATACAGATACAAATGGTCAGAATAGGCCGACTTTCCTTTCTTTTGACTGATTGACATTTTCTGCTTAGAATGTGGTTTTGAAAGGGGTGGAGAACGGAGAGTAGGGTTCTGATGTTGTAAGGAACTGGATTCCTGAGAACCAGGTGGGTGCATTGCTAACCGCATACCGACACTCAGGCTGCTCTGAGCTGGATTTTTAGGTGGTGGGGGTGGTTTTGGGGGAACTGAATCTCTGCAGCACATTAATTTTCATCCTTGGTCCCCAACATACCAATTTCCTATCCTGCAATGATGAAAAAATGATAAAACAATTCTTCTTTAACTGCAGATACAGTACTTGAGAGTCCAATGAGAATAAAATTTTGGGTTGAATGCTATGAGATGGTTTAATTTTTTAAAACTCCATTTTAACCAGCAGGATAACATCTGGTGGCTTGCGGCAATGTTAAAAGGACACTTAGTGGTTTGAAGAAGAAAGCCCAAGTTTTTATGTGGCACATTTGAAGAAGTCGGCTCACAAGTTTATTATTATCAAGCTGGTTGCTTAGCTGTTCATCAGAAGGCAAAGGAAATAGCTCAAAATTGGAAAGTAAATAATATTCCCAAGAAAACTAATAGTCGGAAGAAGGAAGCTGTGATAAAGGAAAGTGAATGGGCCCATACCCATCCTTCTCCCCCACCTGGAATGCTGAGAAGTATTTGTTTCACTCCATTTGGAAAGGGCATTAGCTCCTTGAAGCTGATAGGAGCACAAGTCCTGTTTCCCTCTCAGTCCCAGTTCTGAAGAAATCAGGAACAGTGGTAGGCTAGGCGGAGGGAAGTAATCTCAGATGGACATGTAGCTAGATGAAGAAGAACATGATTTGAACTTTCTACGAAATGCCAGGATTGAACACAATATGGAATAATTTTTGAAGCTTAGAAAGATTAATTGTATCTAGTATTATTTTCTCAGAACATCCATAGCTTCTGATTTCCCCTAAAGCATCAGTGTCAAAGGATTTTAATTTATTCTCTTATTATAGTAGACTGCAACATAGAAGGGCTTGCTGCAAATAAGAAATCCTTTTTCAGTAGCTAGAGCTGTATTCTGTTTTGGCCACAGGCCTAAGGCTTTAAGGGTTAGTCAGTCCATAAGCGCATATTAAGTGTTCCCTCTATGCAAAGCACCATGCCAGGTGTGTCAAATATGCAAGAAGGACATTGGGATGGACTCTGCCCTTCAGGAGCTAAGATACCCACATAGAAAAGAAAACAAATGATGCCCAGTGAGTACCCGAGCTAGTGTCTCACAGGCAGGAAGCAGAGTGTGGAAAAATTCTCTTTCTTTCTTTTTTTTTTTTTTTTTTTTTTTTTTTCTTTCTTTCTTTCTTTCTTTCTTTCTTTCTTTCTTTCTTTCTTTCTTTCTTTCTTTCTTTCTTTCTTTCTTTCTTTCTTTCTTTCTTTCTCCTTCCTTCCTTCCTTCCTTCCTTCCTTCCTTCCTTCCTTCCTTCCTTCCTTCCTTCCTTCCTTCCTTCCTTCCATGCCTGATGCTGCTGTATTCCAGGTGTCATTGTAGGGCTGGGGGAGTCTTCTCAGAGGAATTTGTCCTCTAATAAATTCATATAAGAGAGAAGATAGTATCTTTTAGCTTGAAAACTAGACAAAATCAGCATTCAAAATTAGCTGACATAGAGGAAGCTAAAAGTGCAAAGGCAGGAGGAAGGCTTTCTGGCCCAGCCAAGGGTTTATTCATTTTCCCTGGCAAAGGGGAGGTAATGTGTGTTGATATACAGGAGAGATGTAACCTGCAGGGAGTTTTTTGGAGGTCAGTCTGGCCACAGGGAGCTTGGGTTGGTGTGGGTGAGGGAATGGGGCAGACCAAGGGGAGGAGGCAGACCAGGACAGGAAGCCAGGCGAGGGGCTTTTGGAAATGCCAGGCTTGAAGTCAGAAAGTGGCAATGAGAAGCAAAAGGAATAGCTGGACATTAGAAACAAGGAAAAAGATGCTAATGGCAAGAGTTAGCATTGGAGTTGAACACTAAACAGCAGAAATCCCCTTCTTCCTCAGGCCTTGAGAATCACTCTTATCTTTGGTCTCATGACTATAATGAGGTGCAGCGTGCGGTTGGCAGATGTTTTCTAGTTTATTTTTCCAGTCAATAGTGGGGAAGTGTTGAAATCAATCTGAGTTTAAGAGAATTATGTTCCCCTCTCCTAGCACCTCTAGTTCTGGATTGGAGAAGAGTCACAAGACCAGAGGTTTCAGGCTTTGTAAAGAAGTCTTTGGTAGCAGCCACTGTTTCACCCCCACCAAACCACGGGGCTTCAAGAAACAAGTTATCCCTTTTACTCTATGTGTGAATGGCGACTAAATGGCGACTTCTCAATTAATTTGTGTAGTTTCTTGGTTTCAGGTATCTATGGTGGGAGTGCAGTGTTCTGGACACACACAGGGGAACAGAATAGATGGTGGGGGGTCTCCACTCTCATGACTAGTCTGATGAGGTTGGAGACATGACAAATAGGCACACTCAACCATATGTCACTCAACCGTATGTGATTACAAATTGTAATAAGTCAACAGAGGCGAGTCTGGGGTAATGGCAGAACACAGAAGGGGACTTCCTATAGATTTGGGTTAGTGGCCAGGAATAGCTTCTATGGGGAAGTAACAAAGTAAGATCTGGAGGTTGTGTAGAAAGTTGGGGCAAGCATTCCAAGTGAGAGAGCGGAAGGGCTTATCTCATGAGGCCCTAAAACAAGGCCACTGTTGGGGCTCAGCGCATGTGGGGAAGGGTGTGTTCTCACCTTTTAACTGCCTCCATGTGTGCAGGCCACCACCACCAGGACTAGCCCAGTAGCCTCCTTGCTGGTCTCCGAGCTTCTCCCTTATCCTGTCTCCCTCTCCTCTACCCATCCCCAGTCTCTGCAACCCCCGCCCCCGCCGCCCCGCCACCCCTCCCCAGGCCAAGTCTGTGTTTTCCCACAAAATTATGGTGGTTCTTTACAAAATGAATCATATCATGTTACCCCTCTGTCCCCTGCTTGCCAGCAATCCAGAGTCCTTCCCATGGCTGACAAGGCCCTGCCTTACCTGGCCCTGGCCCCCGACACCTCTCTGACTTCCTTCCCAGCTCCGCCCTCCTTGCTCGCCTCCCGTGCTGCCCACCGACCTCACTGCATTCTGAGCCACATTTGTCTCAGGGCTTTTATACTCTGCCTTCTCTCTGCCTGGGACCATCTCTCAAATGTTTGCTCCTTTGCTGAAATGTTTTCCCTCTCTGTAGAGGTACCTTCTCTTAAAAAAGTGGAATTCTTTAATCTGCTTTAGTGTCTTTCCCAGCACTTTTTCCTATATGACGTTGTGTTGTGTACTTGCCATTTGCCAGTCTTTCCTGCCGGGATGAAAGCTGTAGGATGTTGAGGCCTTTGCTGCATCCCCTGGTATATCCCTAGCATCTGGACTGGTACCTAGCACATAATAGGTGCTTGCTAAATATTTGTGAATGAACCAATGACGGACTCACCATTCATGTCAAAGGAGAAGTGAGCTGGGCCAGAGGATTGAAATCCTTGTGAGACCTGAAGGATTTTGCACTTTATCCTAAGGGCAGCGAGAAGCTATTAAGGGTTTTAAGCAAGGGCTTGAGGAGATGAGATAAGTTTCGGAGTTAGGTTTCAGAAGACTCAGTTGGCTCAGAAGTGGAAAGCAAGAGAGGTTTCTTGTAAAGAGCAGCAGGGTGGGTGAGGTGGCATTTGCTGCCGAGAGGTGCAATTTGGGGAGGGGAGTTTGAATATCACCCCAGAGCTCAGCAGCGCTGCGTTTCCTGTGAGAGGCCCAGGAGACGTGCAGGGGGTGTGGCGAGGGGGCTGGATGTGCAGGACTGAAATGGCACTAGAGGGCAATTGTGCTGTTCCCGCAGTCGGGGAATTGGGCCGCTTTTCCCATGCCATGGGCTGGAAACTGAGGCAGTGCTTGTTTGTGCTGATGAAAGGCCCGTTAGCTCAGAGCTTTTAAGCATGTCACAAGTCACAAGCAGCCCTCTTCCTTGAAGGTGGGACAGGGGAGTGTTTTTTGCTTGTTTGTTTATTTGTTTGTTTTTTTCCTGATTTCCTGTTAATTAACAAGCTACCTCTTAAATACTGGAATACTGAATGACCTTGGACAAGACGAAGTTTGCTAGGTCCAGTTTTCTCTTCTGTAAAATCAACCCATAATAATCATTAACCCCTAAGTGTTTTGGTGAAAATTAGATGGGATAATACATGTAAAACATTAGGCAGGGAGCATAACCAATACCTATTATTTTTGTTTTTGTGGATAGCTACAAACCTGAAGGTTCCTGTCACCTTCGCGTCTCCTCCTGTAACAGTACAGGGAATTGACCAATTCTCAGCTCCCTGGCTCCGGGGAAGTCCAAGCCTGAGGAAGCCTTATATGAGTACCTGTCTTGAATGGTTGTGTCTTTCTTTTCAGGATATCAACCAGAAACTCCAGGAGGACAACCAGGAGCTGAGGGACCTCTGCTGTTTCTTGGATGACGACCGGCAGAAAGGCAAGAGGGTGTCCCGGGAGTGGCAGAGACTGGGCCGCTTCACGGCAGGGGTGATGCACAAGGAAGTGGCCTTATACCTGCAGAAGCTGAAGGAGCTGGAGGTGAAGCAGGAGGAGGTGGTGAAGGAGAACATGGAGCTCAAGGAGCTGTGTGTGCTGTTGGACGAGGAGAAGGGCGCGGGCTGCGCGGGCAGCCGCTGCTCCATCGACAGCCAGGCCAGCCTGTGCCAGCTCACCGCCTCCTCGGCGCCCTGCGTGCGCGACGTGGGCGATGGCAGCAGCACCTCCAGCACGGGCAGCACCGACAGCCCCGACCACCACAAGCACCACGCTAGCAGTGGCAGCCCGGAGCACCTGCAGAAGCCCCGGGCCGAGGGCAGCCCTGAGCACGCCAAGCACAGGAGCACTAGCCCAGAGCATCTACAGAAACCCAGGGCCTCCGGGACCCCCGATCACTCCAAAGCGCTCAAAGGACCCAGCCCTGAGCACCACAAACCCTTGTGCAAGGGCAGCCCTGAACAGCAAAGGCACCCGCACCCAGGGAGCAGCCCTGAAACGCTGCCCAAGCACGTGCTGAGCGGGAGTCCCGAACACTTCCAGAAGCACAGACCCGGGGGCAGCCCCGAGCACGCCAGGCACAGCGGAGGGAGCCCTGAGCATCTTCAGAAACATGCCCTCGGTGGGAGCCTGGAGCATCTACCCAGAGCCAGGGGCACCAGCCCTGAGCACCTCAAACAGCATTATGGGGGGAGCCCTGATCACAAACATGTGGGCGGAGGCGGCGGAGGCAGCGGTGGAGGCAGCAGGGAGGGTACCCTGAGGAGGCAGGCGCAGGAGGAAGTGTCACCCCATCACCGGAATGTCTACAGTGGCATGAACGGTGGGTCAGTACGTGCTGGGGAACCGCTTTGGCTGGGGCAGCTCAGGAGAGAGTTCTGAGTGTTAAAGGGCGTTTCAGCCACATTAGAAAGTGCCGGGCTGGCTGACGGGGTGGGGTGGGATGGGAAGGAACAAACATTTGTCCCCAGATCACGACAAGCATTTCTCGTCCCGCCCCGCCCCGTCCCTGCCATTGGTTTTAGTTCACACTATTATCCAGCAAGCAAGCTTGGAGAAGATTAGGAGGCTTTAGGGGAGAGAGAGGAACAAATTCCATGGGACTCTGAGTAGTCCGGGTGAGATTTATAGGTACTGAAGATAAAACCAGAACTACGCTAAGATTCTTCCACTCTGACCTTGAGCGTTTCCCTAGTTGCCTGCGGTTTCCTCTGGGGCTAGCTTATGGAGCAGGTGACCAAACAGTTTTGAAGCCAGATAATAGTTTCTGTGCAGGAAGGAATGGCTATTTATTATGAAAAACAATACTATCATTAAAAAGGAAATATGGTGCCCCTAAACAAGCTTGAAGCTGGGTTGTCTGAATGCTATAAATATGCCTCACTTGACCTTGAAGATTTTCTTCATTGCGTTGGGGGCCTTAGCATGAATCTGTAACTTTATTTGCCATCTAAAATGCATCAAATAATTCCCTTCCCTACTCACCCAAGACCCACCCAGTCCTCCCACCAAACTCCCTGTAATGTATTCTGAATAGTGCATGCTTTTACCTTGCAAGAGAAATCTTTTTCCACTGCTTAAATGTTCCTTTTTAAAAATGTACAGATGTGTTTGAACACTCCTTTGGTTTCCAAAGCATAACATCCACTCCATTTGCTGAGGTGGCTCTAAACCCAAGTTTTTAAACCTTTTAGAAGAGATTTAATTTTCTGCATCTTGGTTCTGAAACCACTTTGAAGTCAAGAGGGAGAAAAATCGTTTCTTTAAAAAACAAACAAAAATCCTCACAGTCCTTTTATGTTACCTATGGTTGAGTTGGAACTAAAATGATTGGTTTTATAAACTGTGGGCTTTTTTCATTCAAAAATATCTGAGGTTTTTCACTTTATTTGAAAGCTGCTCAGGAGTCAATGTGTCGTCATCTTTGAGCAGTGGTGGCTTCCAATTTTAGCAGTGACACAACGGGGTAAATTTTCAATATTGTACTTGGGGATTTACCTGTTGGATTCCATTTCATCCTAATCCTTTCCCTTTCCAATCCTTTCCTTGTCGTGCTGAAAATGGACTCCCGAAGCTTGGCTTCTAATGCATCCAATGTTCTGTTAAGCGCAAATGGAACTGGAAAGGGTGGGAAAGATAGGATGATTGGTTGGTTGTGTTGGGAGATGGGGCAGCGGGAGGCCGGGTGCCCTGTTGTGCTGAGGCCTCCTGGCTGGCCGGGCTGCTCAGTTCATTGCAGCGTCACTCAGTCTTTCCAGGAGAGGCAGAGATGCTGCCCTGATGGCGGTGGGCAGCCTGGGCTGTGCAGTTCTCACGGGGATGAAAGTCATGGAGGAATATATTTTGGTTGTGTTACTCCCAAAGATGGGTCATGGCCATGAAGCTTGTCTTCAGAGAGTAATGGGCTAACAGGATGGTGAAGTGAATGACTTTTCCGTTTCTTGGTTACTTTCTGATGAGCATGAGAGGTAAGCGGTGTGCACTATTTTAAGGAAACTTTGTATCTCAAACCAAAACAGAAAAATTACTTAGGGGCAGGTGGTTAACTTACCAAGCAATTTTCTCTACCAAAAAACTTTTTGAAATAAGAAACTCGTTTAATCAATGTGTGATGTAACTTCCAAGAAAAGATTTTAGGTGCAACTTTTAAACAATGTCTGTCATAATGAAAGGTATGTCTTTAGATAAGAATGACATTACATCATGACTTATTATTGCCTGGATTCAGATAAACTTAGGGGCCAGACAAATGTTTTTTAAAATTTAATAATTCTATTTAGTTAAAAATTTGTTGCATTATTTAGAGCACCACTATATTTAATTTTTGTGTTTACTTTTCTCATTATAAAGTGACAAATCTTCTTCTAACAGTTGATATCCTTACCAAAGTATATTTGTAGTACATTTGCATTATGTTTTTATTTCAGTAATTGGAAAAATGAAGTGGAACAATGTTCATGGATCATCAGCTTATAAACTTGGGCATTGGTAGCTTGTATTTATACTAACGTTACAAATTAATTTTTGATATGGATGATAAAACAATGATATTTAAACTTACAAATCCCCACCCACTTTGTTTGAGTCATTGGCTTGTAAACAGGAACCAGTAGCAAAGTTAATCTCAAATTGCAGATTTGCCGAGCCATTTACAGAGTCACTCTGTTTGACATTGGTGTGAGACATGACTGTTTTAGATGAGCACTTGTATGTTTTTATATGAACAAAAAAGCAGGTGAAAGCAAGTGGAAGTGTGTCTGCATTATGGTAGAATAATACAGAGATGGTGGGATATTGTCCTACTTGTAAGGATATAAATTCCCTCCAAGAAGATACGCATGTACATACTGAGGGAACATTGGTGAAAACAATTGCTGTTTTAGTTGGTTGTACCTTTAGCATCTTTAACTTTTCTTGTGCCTTCAGTTGTATTAAGTAGTTGATGAACTTGACCTCCAAGAGTTTCCTTTGGTTAAAACAGTTGGCCTAATTTCCAACTGGATGCAAAGACGAATTTTAGGCATTTTTCCTCCCTTAAAACTATCTAACACTGTATAGCCATTTTTTAATTAGTAGCTGATTAAATAACAACCAAAAGCAAAGACAAAACAAACAAAAAAATACCCGTCAATTGAATAAAATGTTCATGAATGCATTTACTTGTTTAAAAGTTATTATTCAGCTATTTCTTCTCAATTTGTAGAGAGTTCTATTTGCAAAGAGGAAGTAGATTCAACACTTATCACATCTAGACATTAAGGCATTTGTCTATTCATTCAAGTTACTTGCTGTATTCCAGATTTGTAAATTAAGTAATTGAATAGCCACTTCTAGCTGTAAATGTACAAACTGATAGCCTCCTTGAGAATGGGGGATTCATTTACCTGACTCCATTGAAATTCAAGGTTGGACTGAACTTTTTAGGTGAAAATGTTCCCTTCCACAATGAGCCCAAGGGCTTTTGCTTCCAGATGTCAGCTGGCAGATCTTTCTTTTTAACAGAAAACTCTGTGGCCCAGGTCGTGGGTGTCATGGATGATCCAGGTTCTTTGAGCAAGAACAGCTCTGTTATATTGTTAACCTTCCAGACAAAGTTGATTCTGATTATCAGGCCTTTCTTTGCAAATAGTCCACCCTGGGGACATTGTGAATACAGTCAAAGAGTAATAGAGTTTTAATTCTAGAGACGCATATTTCTGTTTATCAGCAACTGAGAAAAAATACATAGAGGAAGAAACATTACTCTTTATTTTACATTTTATCTTCTTTCTTCTGAAGACATTGTTCAGGTATCCTTAATTTGACATTTTTGAGCATGTTCCAGTGCACAGTAGCTTCACGTTCTCCTTCAACATCGCCTAGCAGTGAGAGCACACGAGGGCATTATTCCCTTGTGTTGGACAAGGTCCATTTAGAACTACCTTTGGCCTTGCGGGATGCAGTGTCAGGGTTGCAAGTCTTCCTCCTGAAAGTTTTCTGCTGCCTCTTGTCTTTGTGCGAGTATCCCTAGAGATGCAAAGAGTGGGCTCTCTCTCCCACTAGCTCTTGGACTAGAGCAGGATTTCTCAGCAGCAGCACTGCCCTCATTAGGGACCACACAATTTTTTGTTGTCAGGGGTTATCTTGTGTGTCTTAGGAGGTTTAGCAGCATCCTGGGCTCTACCCACGAGGCTCATCCAATGGTGACTAATTAAAAATGTCCCCAGCCCCTGCCAGATGTTCCCAGGGAGTGGGCAGAATTGCTCCTGATTCAGACCCACTGTTTTGGAGCAGTGTTTTCCAATCTGGCTGCAGGTTAAAATCACTATGATAACTTTGAAGAAACACTAGTGCCTGGGCCCCAGCTCACATGCAAATTAAGTTGGGCTGGCACTGGGCCTGGGCACGTGCAGGAAGAGCTCCTCAGGTGAGTCTAATGAGCAGAGCAGGTGAAAGCCATTGCTCTGGGTGACTGACTGTTGTATAAGATGGGTTGGTGTGAGTGCACCTCTCAAATACCCAAGCTTCCTGGGAGGAAGAAAGTTAACTCTTCTCTTCCTTTGCTGAAATGAACTCCAGGACTGGGAAGGCCTGACCCAAGCAGGTAATGTAAAACTTCGCCCCTCTCAACCCAGACCAAGGCTATCTGATAATGGACTTCTGGGGGATATGCTTTGAAAATTTGAATTTTTGCAAGGTATAATTGTTAGGTTAATTTGGGGAAACTGCAACATGTGAATATTTCAAGGTTACTTTTTTAAGCCTTCACACCCAGATGGAAAAAGAACTTGAGCTTCTAACCCATTTACGGTAGATGCCAGGAGTGCATGTGGATCATATGACATCTGCAATGCTAATGCATTTTTCCCACAAGGGAAGACTGCATTTCAAGTCATACAGTTTGTAGGTTTCACCCTGGGTTTTAAGACTGCTCCTTATTCTCTGTTGAGGTTGTTAATGAGTGAGCAAAAACTGATAATTACCAAGTGGCCTTGTTTGTGAAGGGGTAAGAACCCATGTGTGGAGAAGCCCAGCAGGATTTCTCTGAAGCCAGGGTGTCTGTAAATTAAGTGGTGGGCCAGTGTAGCATGAATTGTTACTCTCATAAATCTCATATTTAGCGTAGAGAACATCACAATGTCACTTATGAATGAATTTGGACAATAGAAATTGAATGCCTCTTGGGAGAAAAATTTCAGCAGTGACTGTATACCAGAGCAGGTTTTGATGATCTCTGACTATATTTCCTCTTGTGTGAACAGACACGGAGATTGTTAAAGAACTAGATAATAGTTTTTGATCTTCAAATTTCAGTATGGTAATGTGGTAGCCTTATATCCACTT